AGTATTGGTTAATAAAAAACTCTGAGTGGTGAGATGTCGTATCCTTGCAACGTCCTCTAGTGTGAGTCGCTCTGATTCCTGGTTGCTTGCTGCTCCTGATGTTTGTTCTGTCATGCAATGGATCTCTATCTCACTCTCATCACCAGGTGGACCCGGCTCTACCTAGTGCTCAGGAGAGGACGGGAGACGAAGAAGGCTGCTGCTACTGCAACAGCGGCTATGGATGAATGGATGATGTCCATACAATGTGTGTGCTACATGACTATGTGCACTGAGACTCCAAGAACCCCCAAGACCCCTGGCACCCCTCTGCCTGCATCTCCTGTCCTATGCTCACGTCCCACCGGCAACCCCCATTGCAGCGCATGGCATGCGTCTGTGGTCTCTTCCATGACTTTGTTACCTTGAAACCACAGGCCGGTCAGCACTTCACCCACACGCTCCAGTCCAACCAGGAGATTAACTGCGTCACATCCTCCTTCCATTCGCCCATGAGAGTATGTATGTGATCAATGTTCTACAGTGAGTCGCACATTCTTTCCAAGCTTGACACAAGTCATTTGACGTTATCTTCCTCAGTGGCAATGTACATCGTCCAGCAGATATGAGCAAATGTGCTGAGCGCAACGATACTTCACCAGACGTACTTCAACCTACCACAAACACTCCTAAGCACCACCCACTATACAGGCAGTCCAGGATGGATTTCATGACCGACACAAAAGCTGACCATAATGAGAGCATTGCTCAGTATGTCATTCCCTCCAATCTATCCCCTTATCTGATTATACGCAGCCTTTCGCACCGTCTCCAGCGACACAAGCACACTTTCCACCACCCATACCTATGTCCTGTTCATTTGTGTCGTCCAATGGAACATTCCCTTGCTCCCTCAACACCCAGCTCATCAATGCTCAATGCCTCTCAGGGCAATATTCAAAAGTCCACTGTGTCCTCGAATTCGAATTCGAGAAGTCTGAGGTTGAAGATGAGGGTTGGGATGGTATATTTCTCGAAGACACTCACTGTGATGACTCGGAATCCGATACTGACATTGATTTACTGTAGTATCTATGTTGAATACATATCTTGTACAATATTGCATATTTTACATGCTTGGGCCATGGCTTGGGCCAGAGCCAGGCCAAAGCCAGCCGGCTTTCATGGCTTTGGCCTGGCCTGGATTTTTGATGAGCCAGAGCCATCTGAAGCCAGGCCAAAGCAGTGGCTTTTGGGCCAAGCCAGGCCGGAACATCACTAATAGATAGATAGATTGTAGATAGACATACTTTTTCAAAATTCAGATAATTCTTGCTAATAATTTGTTCTTGTTCAAATAATCCATCTGACATTATCTAACATTATCATTCTTAATGTAATTATGTGAATTCACAACATTATGTAAACTTTAGCAAATTTATGTAATTTTGCCCCAGGAGGGTTTTCCTGATGTTGTAGGCAGGAAGTGACTTTGGATTGTAGACAAGGATCCTGGTATTGTTCTGGTATACTTATGTGATGAATATATTCCATATGTTCATAGTAAAAGACTACCTACCATCCTAGAGGGCCGGAGCTGCAGGAAAACTTTTCTCAGGGAGTGAACCACCAGGAAGATAACAATACATATCACCCTAGGGACTGATCCTACTGACCTATACTCTTGATATGATGTGTATACTAGTAAAGAGATGTTAGAAATAATATTTACCAGTCTATATACCTAAACACTAAAAAATGCGAACTGGTTTATGTTTTTTGAGAGGTATTCACGAATTTAACATATTTACTGATGTAGGACACTACAGAGGCTCAAACAAGCGGTGTGATATATTCATTAACACTCTAATATATGATATATACAGCCAAAATTGCTTTCCTGCTAAAGGGGCAAAAAAGCGAATATGTTTTAGTCCTGGGATGCTGTCATGAACGCTGTCTGCTGACTTTCGATCACATTTCCTTTTTCGTAGTACCAGTACTTACATCTTTTTCATTTCGGCTTTCTCTCCTTTCTCAGTATCATGCTCGTCTATTTTGATAGGTATAACCTACGTTCTTGTATTTCTGTATTCTAACGTCGTCTATTTTGATAGTCGTTGTGGTTGTCGCTCGGCGTCTCGCCTCGGCTCTTCTCTCTTCTGATAGATGCACATATTGTAGTCAGCACTGTAGACTGCTGTACAAGCTCTCAGACAGTGAAAAAAGTGGTCTATTGTATCATTTTATGTATGTACATGCCATTCTACTACTTATATACATGAGTGAGCAAGCGGAAAGCTCTGGTGCAGCAGTAGAGCCAGGGAGGTATGTGGGAATAGTGAGATTATTGGAATATCCCAATTTGGTAATTTTTCCGGTGGTAGCGCTATTCTTGGAAGCCTGAGAAAAACATTTCCAGTAGCATCGAGATCACAAGAGAGATCCCGATCTTCAGAACCAGTGAGGCATCGTGTCTGTTAAGCTTCGTGAAGCTTCATGTTGGTGGCTCTGAGAACACACTTACAAAATGTACTGTGTATAGTTAGACATGGTTAAGTATCCCCCTGCCATGAACAGGTGGTATTACTTGGTATAACTTGTCTAACTTTTTGAAAATTTGTCACACAGTGTCTAGGTTTGTATCGGAGGGTTTTCCTGATGTTTACGCCTGTAAATTTACACCCCTCTATTTGACCGTACACTAATTCTGGAGAAACCAACCGAGGTTCATCAATGCGGTTTGTGGCTGTGCTACGACGTTACTTGAGCTGAACTTTCTTTCATTCTTGCGCGTTATCCAATATCCCACCCATGAGTGATTGGACGATGCAAAGGTACTTCTGTGGAGAAACGGGGTGACGAAAGGCAACTCGGAACTGGGAGCTCGTAAGTAATAAGTAATGTCACGATGTTCCTGCATACTATTGATCCAGTACAACTAAAGTACATTTAGATGTCCTTATAGCTCACCCACCACTGAGGCGGTTGGCAGAACAATGTCGTCATCATGTCCATTTGCGCTTGTGTAGGCCGTGCTTGGAAGCTGATGGGATCGTCTGAACAAACGGAGAGGACCACCACCACCTCTTCTGCATCGTACTCGACTTCAAATTCATCGTCTGCGTATCCAATCGCCGAGGTTTCGTTTTCATAATCGTGGCTTGTATAGCCCTCATCTTCATCGTCCTTGATATTTTCATTATGGCCCCTAATAACGGCCTCGTATTCATCAGTCTTGCTGTCGTCGTCCTTTTCGTCTTCGTAGCGACTTGCATCGCCCTTGTCTTCATCAGTCTTTGGATCGTCTTCTTTTTCGTCTTCAAAGCGAGTTGGATCGTCCTCGGCTTCATCAGTCTTTGGGTCGTCCTCCTTTTCATCTTCGAAGTAAAATGTATCGGCTTCTTCGTCAGTCTTTGTGTCGTCGTCCTTTTCGTCTTCATAGTGAATTGTATCGACTTCTTCGTCAGTCTTTGGGTTGTCTTTTTCGTCTTCATAGAGACTCGACTCTTGTTCATCAGTATTCGTTTCGTCTTCCTTTGTGTCTTCGTGGTCAGTTGGACCGCCCTCATCTTCATCAGTCTTTGTATCGTCCTCGTTGTCAGCTGACCCTTCTACCTCCCCCTCCGAGTCTTCATCCGCAGAATCCTCAGGCTCTAAGACTAGGTCGACACAACACTTGTAATCCAACTGACGAAGGCGCAACTCCTTCATAAGCCAATTACGAGTCAACGACGCGCACGTGGGATCATGAAAATTGGCGGGATTGATGAACTTCTTGATCTCGTTCTCGAAGGCAAGAATGAAGTCTTGGGTGATGCAATAACCGTAATGATGTTCGCGGTTTCCTCTAGGAGGGCACTCGATATCAATTTGAGACTCCTGGGTGGATGAGGAAATCTGCAGTATTGAGGTGAGGTTTAGTATATTATATAACGCTGAAGAATGATATTGTAGGTTCGAACCTGGAACTTGAGGCTTTGGACGAATTCTTTGAAATAGAACGACAATTGCTCGAATGACAACGACATTGTGCGTGAAATGATTAGGATGATGATCGGGTACTCTGACTGAATCTCGGCCAACCTGTAATATATGATTCCCTTTCATCCACTGTGCCCTTTCGGACTATTTCCCCTTTGTTCGGTGGTCATTGTTGCACAGGTGGCTCAGGTTGGTCAATACTAGATTGGGCGTGGAAAATCTGAAATCACAATGGCTTCTTCAGAGTCCGAAGCGCTGTGCAATGCTTCCAGGGAACCATTATTCTTCGGCGACGTGCACACCGGCCGCCCAGGCTGGCGCGGTGCTTCACGACCTGCAAGAACGTTCTGAATGCATTTCTATGACTTGCAAAGGTGCAACCAAGAACATAAGTTGATCATGAGCATGGCATGAACCCCTTCCGTAGAAAATCAGAGATTTGGCCGGTTGTTGGGTCAGTCTTGGACGTTCTTCCTGCTAGGCTGAATATTATTCCAGCCTTGAGTCGTACTTACTGCTTTAGTAGGCGATCGACTTTCAACCTAAAAATTCTAAATGGCACGCTATTTTCAAATTGGTCTCACAAGAGAGCAACTTTGATTCAGTGTTACACACAAGGCGAACTTAAGACTACGAAGGACAAAGCAAGCAAGGTGGGATGTCGCGTATTATGCAAGTGAAACAAAACTTTTAAGTTCGTGCGAGATGTGAATCATGTACCAATGTTCTACTAAGCTAGTCGTAAGAACTGGGCATGCGTGAAAGAAGTGAAGCCGATCTCTCTAATTAAAATAATTATCAAGCACCTGAGTTTAGTATTTTCCAGCATTAACACGATCAGTTTCCTGCCCTCCTCAGCGGCTCCACCTGCTTGCGTCCCACCCGAGTTAACGCTCGGTCCAGCTCAATGCTCGGAGGACCCGCAATCAATCTTAGCACCAATCAGCAACATTTTAAACATGACAGAATTGCAGACGTATTGTACAGACACAGCCAAGACTCTAGGTGAAAAATAATACACGGGCCATCAAAGTGACCGATGACTGGAAGATAGTCGAGTTTGACTCGTAACATATTGGGTGGTTTGGTAGATAATCAAACATGAACCTCCATCCCGCCCCATTCCAACACCTTGAACAACGCTGTATCACTGGCTCTTACAAGATCAACTCCAACTACATCCGCCCACCAAGCAACGTCTTTCCCTGCTTGCATTCGCGCGTTAGGCCAATCCGCTAAGTGTTCCTTACGGATACCTCTGAATAGCATGAATACCCGAGTCACGATGTCAGGTTGCGGAGAAAGGCTTAAAGGAGCGGCACGTTCATATGCCAGTTGAGGGACAAATCGGAGGGCGATGTGTTCATGCTTGAGGATAGACGGTAGCCAGTAGCTACCGTAGTAGTAATCAGTTTTAGTGTGATGTTCCGAGATGGCACATACGGACGCACGTGATAAAGGATGTTCTGGCTTCAGTGTGAAGTCCCAGAGCCTTGAGCGACTTATCGAGATAAACAGTTGCTTTGTCCACTGAGATAACAATGGAGTCCGTGTCGCCGAGAGTGCTGGATGTAGGACTGAATACATCCACTGATTGCAGTTCAGATGCTGGCGAACGCGGAAATGCATCCGAATTTGTCCTGCGAAGATTCATGTAAAGTTAATTATGAGAGTGATTTCCATGTGATGAAGAAACTCACTTTGCCTCCCAGAATAAGTACGATACGTCTAAACCAGAGTTCCTTTCAGTCAAACTCCCGTCTTGGTGGGTGCGGACATTCCATTCGACATGCTGTCCGTGTCCTTGCTTCAGGGTAACAACAGGGTAGATAGCGGAGAAGCTCCACTCAGGACTGAGGGATAGTTTGACCGAGACATCGATATCGGAGGGCGAGTATAGATAGATCACTGGCTTTCCACCGACCTGTTCCATTATAAAAGAGATAGAGTCTCCATTCGAGATATTGTATGACCCGATACTCCTGTTGTGATTCAATCTCGACCCACGCCACATTGTCTTGAAATCAGTAGAACCTCCCAACTTGCGAGCAACAACATCAACAAGTTCCTGCACTCGTGCGGACAACTCTATCGTGGCAGAAAGAATATCATCAGATGCCAAAACCAAATAGACCCTGACTTTGTTATTGTTGCTGCGCAATGAAATAGCCCCAGCGTTACTACTAGTACTGCCACTGGGCGGAAGTGGGATGGGCAACGGTGATTCTGCGCGAGTCACTTCAACGAATGTAAGCGATTCAATTACTTTGTCCCATGTTTCAGCCGTGATGTCCACAAGTTGACCTTCGCAGATATCGAGTTGGTTGGTCTGGAATGTCATAGCGTTTCTTGGAATGGTTGGGAAATGTCTACATGCATTGTCTAGCATGACCTTATGATATCGATGAGCCATCTTAAAGATTTCAATGGTTGTTTCCACCTACATTATACGACTTGTGTCGGTTAACCATTACACGTTTTTGACCATGTTTGAGAACAAGGAGTTTGGGGATTGGCTTCGCTACGTCGGCTCCAGCCTTTTTTCTGGAAACCTTGGGCATGGCAGTATAGAGACAAAAATTCAGAGGTACGATGGTTCGAACTTTCAAGCAGAGTGCGACGATGTTGTCTTGTCGAGAATGTTTGTCCTCAGTAAGACTGAGTATACTTGGTTAACTTGAAGATGAACTCAGTGGCACCGCCACTCTCGGGTGATCGACATGCAATTACCATACTTGTAACGCTGGTGGATAATTCTTTGTATATGATGTTGCTCCATCTGAGTAAATGACAAGATTGAACATAATTTAGGCGAGATCTGCCAATTCGGCTGTATACTTGATGAGATTGGATGAAAGATACTCCGAATATCAGAGACGTCAGAGTTTTCCCTGGTAAGTACTATGCAGTCGGAAAATCGAAAGGAACACAGTTGTTTCTATATAGTGGCCCGGATCCAGCGACCAGCTCGACTTCAACAAATTCCATGAGCACACAAATAACTTGTCCAAGATATCCGATGTATCATTCACCTACAGCATCAAAGGACATGATTCAAGAGATCATCATCATTAGTCATGTTAGCCTTCGTATACGCAAGCATAGAAGATCACGTATAACAGGTATCACAGGATTCAAGAAGGTAGCACCACTGAGTCATTTCACGTTTCGACCGTTAGTGGTCCTTGAAGCTATGGTACTGGTGTGCTCATCGAGACTTCAGAGGGGCGAGAAGAATTGGACCTGACAGATTCAAAACGTGTTCAGAGCAGGTACCGAGCTTGAATATCGACGTGCATAAGAATATGGGCACGGTGCAACCGCATATAGTGCAGTGACCCTCACTAAGAGACCAAGAAATGTCCTTGATGGACGGGTTGAGGCTGAACCAATAGATACCGTGAGTCCAAGATTGTCAATGGGGCAGTTTCTAAACTTACAATTCCAAACATTGTTCTCCGTTCATTTGGGTCTGCTCTTAGCGCTGATGTTCGACATTGGGCAACTCCCTACTGGGGTATGGTCTACACGAGCCTGCGGCTGAGCGATTGCGCAGTTTTAGAACCTTCATCCAATCTCGTCCGTGAGTTAGATCTTATGTGTTGTGACGAGGATCCAGACTATCTGCTCTGCAGATGAGAGAAGGAGTTGGGCCAACTGACGGGTGATACAAGCCGGGCGTTCGTGGCCTCGCCATCTGCAGGCTGCGCGGCTGAGCTTCTGATGAGGCAGGGAGGGACGACCTTTGAGTTCTCCAGGTCACTCGTTGGGTATATGCACTGCGCACTGGTTTTCCCCTAAAAGTGGGTACTGGCCGGAAGGTTTGCGCATAGCAGCGCCCCTGGACGGTGGTAATTCCTCCGGCTCATGTTCATATTTAATTCGGAGTGGGGTAGTAGTTCGAAGTGAAGATATTCGAGCATGCACGAAGTTCACCACCAGTGGTGGTGCTTTGGCGGATTAAGAACATTCCATCCGGTCCATACAGGTGTGGTAGTCCTGGAATCTCGTCAGCGCCAGTTCAAACGGATGAACTAGATAAAAAAAGCAGAAGTAAGACAATAGCACCGATGATGATCCTAATGCGAGCGTGTTTAGATAGGGTGTGTGATATTCGAATGTGGGTTTGACATGGCAGAGGTAGAAGAGAAAGTACGTTACGCAAATGTAGACTTGATAGGTTAATGATGATGAAGTTGGTTTCGCAGAGGTGAAGACGGAGGAGACCTTAGTAGACAGTATCGATGGAGATGAGGTTGAAGGTGCCGTCGAGTTGAGACCACCTTAAGTCCAGGCACAACCAATTGCAAGGGAATCTGGAAGGCAAGGACGTCAGTATATACCGCGCGGTCGATCGTTAGGTCGTTTTTCTCAAGCGCATTAGCTTGATGGAGGTATCAACTGAATAGTGTGCCGTACAAACAATCAAAAGTTGGAGAGCACATACACTTGGATCGTAATGTGAAGTAGTCTCGCTCATTGAAATTGGTCGACTTTCCAGAGCATCCAACGCAAGAAAAGATGAACTTCATGAAAGAGTGCAATGTCATGATGGGTGAGGTTGGGATGGATAAGAATCGAGCGCGAGTTTCAAAAGAAGAGCTGAAATACCCGAGAACACTGGGAGATTCACTAATCTTTCAGCTTCCTTGATTTGCGCCTCAGCCATAAGTATGGGTAGTAGGATGATCGCCACAGTCGAAATGTATTTGTATGAGTTTGGCAACCCCCAAGTTGCCGATTTCTCACCCAACTCCTTCAAAGGTCTTACTACTAAGTTTGTCCAAGTTCGAGGACATGTAGGAAATGGTCAGTCTGTATGAAATCTGCGCAGACTCCACGCCAAAATATGGGGACATGTCTATGGTCGGAAAGTTTCGCACGGTCAAAGGCCTGTCCCCATCATTGCAACTGCCCTGCTGCCTAGCATCAGGATTCAGCGCTCAGCGCTCAGCCACCATCATACATCCCGTCATCTGGGTCAACTGTCATGCCAATCTCGTTATCCTTGTCAGCTTGCCGTCAGAGTTCTAGTGACCTGGAGGGAGAACATGGCAGCCGTAGACTGACTCGGAGAACTGCAAGACAGCGACATGGTGTTCGCAGGCGGGTAGGAAATGGGTATTCAACAGAGAGGATGTGGAAAGACAGGCAAGTGTGATATATAGATATCTGGTGCTATGCCATGAGTGATCGGAGGCTGTGACGCCCCGGGGCTCGGCCAGCAAGCTCAGAAGTGCACATTTGATGCACATGCTTGTTTCATCCGTTGACTACATGACGTCATAAAGAACTACTCAACGTCGTGTGCATAATACTGGTTTGCAATCAAAATCTACTTTGATCATCGAGTGTTTCCTTTTTTTGCTTGATTTCGCACCGCCATACTTACTTCAGCTGATCATCCATCATGATCAAGGGTCTTGAGACAGCCACGGGATCAAATATCCATCTCTTGTAGATTTGGGCGATAGAAACGCAGAACGTGGTATATTTATTATCTAGCACAAATGCTACCTGTTATACACCACCAACATCACCCCCTCGCTCTCACCCATCCTTCAAATATGACCGTAGTCTCGAATGATCCCAGTTGGTGGCCGACTATCAATTCAAACATTTTTTTCAGCTATTGGCTAGGTTCGTCACGTCATGATGTTTCGATTTAACATTGATTGCGGTTTCGCAGTTGCCGGTGGCGTCGTGGTGGTATATGATTGGGGTGAGTAGGACAATGTTCGAGAACTACTGATATTCTCATCATATTTCCAGTGCTAACACTCGGACAAGAGGTATGTCGATGTTATTGCCGCAGTAGCCAACTCGCTCAGAATGGTGTCATAGATTGAACTGATTTGGGTGAGTGACAAGATCAGAAAAAAAGAGAGAAATACAATGGATTCCCGACAGGGGCAACGCTGGTCTCTCATGACTGTGCTGTATTCAGTTGTTCGTACCTCATGTTGTGCTATCACGATAGCGCGGTTGGCAGGTTGTGCTGACTCTCCAATGTTCTAGATACGTTATATTGCAATACCATATTCTGTGTATGTGTCGAGGCCAACAAATTGGCACCATGCTAATAGCTCATCTCTGACGATTAGTACCTATGTTCTACGTATGTCTCATATACACTGTGTTCGATATTTTTTCTGACTGGAAGTACACAGCAAGTATACCATCGGTCTCGCTGACAGACACAGTGAGTATTCCACAACTATCCCATTCCTATCCAATGAATACACTTATTTGTAGGGGTGAGTGAGATTTTGACCATCGAACTCGGCTCAACATAATGATTCAATAGGTGTGAGTCAGAATGTTTGATACTAGTACGAGGGTGCTCACTAATTGGGTGTTTCAGGTAATATTACGAACTACGCAGTAAATGTGACAAATGTGGTCGTAACTGCGACGTTGGGCGGTGAGTTATCCAGCTGCAACACTTCAGCGATATTGACTGGACTGAAACGCGATACAAGTTATCATGATTTTTCGATTGCATGCCATGTATCAGAGATCTAGAATGATGCTTGTTTTTCTTGTGATTATCTTCCTGGCTGTCACCATCGCCTGCGGAGTAATTGCGGCCATAGGACTCAGGGATACTGTAACGGGTAAGCTATAATTGTTTAACTGAAGAACACGGCTTATTAGACAAACACTAGAGGAGTGGATAATCTCTGGTACATATATGTGCAATGCAGAATATGAGGGGGATCTCCTGCTTCTGCCCTCAATGGTTTGGATGCTCACCACGGTTTGGGAGGTCCTCGCACTGTGCCTTGCAGTCTGGATTGCTGTGAAACAGTTCCGTGACTTGCGACAACTTGGCTTATTGACGGGATCGTCCATGGCGGACTGTTTCAGAGTGCTGATGCAATCTCATGTACTTTATTTTGCAAGGTGAGCTTGTCTTGTGAATGCGGTTATCTTTTCTCAATTTCCGCACGTGCTAGCTTTGTTAGTGTCTCTTGCCTCCAGCTTGGTTACTTCTCTCCAGAGCTCTCGGTGCGCCGACCTTTCGCTAATATCTGCTTGTACCTCCTGCTCAACATTCCTGTAGAATTCAAGTGCTATTGGAACCCAGATACTCGCTGGCGCTCTTGAAATCTTATTTCTCGTGCAGATGTTCGTGCTTGGACCACGCCTCATTCTTAGCGTTCGAGAATATAATGCTAAGCTCGTGGCCGACTCCGATGCAGAAATTAGCATGACTTCGATTGTCTTCCAGGAGCACGTACATGAACCAACTAACAGTACTGTGTAGGGAAATGCTTATCAAGTGGTCAGCAGGGATGAGGATCCGTCGTGATATCTATTTAACATGTAGTGTTTCGAGGTATATTTGAAAGGTCTAGGTAAATCTACTGGAAAATAGCACATCTTGGCTCGCGCTGTGTAGTTAATATCTGTTAAATATATGAGACGTCATCCATACTAGGTCGAAAGACAAATCGCACATGCAAGAAGCTCGTAACAGGCAAAAGGCTGGCCATTATATTTCAGTGATGTTTTTCAGTCCGCGCAGATCGAATATTCAACACATGAAAGCTATGATATGCTGACCTGTGGCACACCAAATCACAGCGATGAATCAAGGTTTTATAATTGCCCTCGACAGTGGGAGAGGAGAAACTGAAACGAGCGTCGAAAATAACCTGTCGCGGGCACCAAGGACTGGATTGGCTGTTACTAG